CTGTCTCTGTCCCCCCTGCCTCCTCCCGCTCGACCACCTGCGCCTCGCGCGGGACAGAGGCCGATTCACAGAGGAGGCAACAAAGGCCCCTGTGACTCGCCGGCGCCCCGGTCAGCCTCGCCTCGGCATGGCCTCCGCACACGAAATCTGCCGCTTCTCAGGCGTGTTGGCTAGATTCACTCCAAAGCCACAAGACAGGTTTACAGACGTGCTTAACATAATTCTTCGAGCAAAGGTGCTCTGTCCAGAGACGGGACACGGATAAGACTCGCCACCACATCTAGGTCACGTTCCAGGGACCCCAGACTCATTAATCGAGTTGTTCTGATGACGCAGGAAAACAAAACATCTTGAAAACAGGAGCTCTAAGTGTGCAATGGCTTCCCTCTCGTTTGCAAGCGTTCTGATGTTCGGAGTGTCGCAGATTCCACATACGTGTTGCTGCACGAGTAGGGAGATCAGGTCACCCTCTGACACGAACTTTGCGCTCCTCTCCCAGGCCTGCGTATTAAGGAGACAAAGGAGGTGTACGAGGGCGAGGTGACGGAGCTGACGCCCTGCGAGACGGAGAACCCCATGGGCGGCTACGGCAAGACCATCAGCCACGTCATCATCGGCCTCAAGACGGCCAAGGGCACCAAGCAGCTCAAGGTCAGCCGGGCGGGGCACCCCCAGACTGACTGGGGTGTAGGAGGGCCTCCAGGGAAGGGCCCTGCAAACCGGCAGGTTTCACAGCCAGGTGGCTCAGCTTTGGATCCCCAGTACTGTTGGGTGTCACAACTAAGGGGTTCAGTGTAGAGTCCCCAATATGGATGGTTGTCACAGCTAAGGTTCAGTGCGGGTGGGATCCCCAGTATCCCTTGGTGTCACAGCTCAGGGGCTCAGTGTGGGTCCCCAATACTAATGGGTTTCAAAGCTAAGGGGCTTACAGGGGATCCCCAGTACCGATGGGTGTTATAGGTGAGGTCTGCAATGTGTTGTGCCGTCTGCAGCTGGACCCCAGTATCTACGAGAGCCTGCAGAAGGAGCGGGTGGAGGTGGGAGACGTCATCTACATCGAGGCGAACAGCGGAGCTGTGAAGGTAACCCCAGCACCGCGCCTGGCTCTCTATCCCCCAGCGCCCCCCAGGCTTTCATTTCCCCCTCCTCCCCCCGTCTCCCTGCTCTGCTTTTCATCCCCAGCTGCTCTCCTCTTTCTTCCCGAACGGATTCTCTCGTGCCCCTCGGATGCCTCCGTCCTGCGCCGTGTCTTTGTCCCGCTCCCCTGCGCGCTCCCCGCTGTGCCGTGCTGACTGGCGTGTCGACACTCCCTGTGCTCAGCGCAGGTGGGCCCGGCATGCTGCCAGACAGCAGGTCGCAAGGGGGGTCAGAGGTAACATTTGTAGCTGTTGACAGTCTCCTGCCCCCCACTCCTTTCATCTTCGCCGCGAGGGGCTGTCACTCGCCGGCCTGGCGTGGGCTCTGCGCACCTGTGAGCCTCC